CTGAGTGATGCTGGCCAGTGATGAGCTGTAGAAATCAAAGGCAGATAAGGACTGAGTGCTAATGGCACAGAGGTAAACATTAGGCTAAAACAAGCGTGGGGAGGGGGGCTTGGACATTTTGTGGTGTATTTTGCATTCAGCCGCTATCCTCGTTACTGCTCATTTGAATGAACAGAGGGCATATGCTAAGTTATGGAAGTTAGGGTTTACTTATACCTGAGTTGGATCAGAAACGCAGGAATTATCCTGATTTTTTTTGTCTATTACAGCTCTTGACAGGTTTTGTTAGAAGTGATGATTTCTCCAGAGGTGATTTATTGTGACATAAAGTGACTGTTATATTTTTGGGAGGGACCCCTGTTGCAGCTAAAACTTTAATCATAATCATTATTACAGAGGAGAGCTCTCGCGTTCATATTGTGCCCATACCCACCGCTAAGGCAATGACTTGACACTGGCTTTGAGCCAATTGGTTATTTGATTGGCTGGTGTGGTCACCTCAGCTATAGGCAGGTTGTGGGCAATTCTGGATAGCTGATAGACACTATCAGGATTGCTTAGCAACAATAATCTGCCGGCCCACAGCACACGGGCCTCTACTGTACTGCATGTGAACGGCATGCATTTGACCACAAATCCTTCCGTATGACGAGAGAAATGGAAATTTCTCGCCAAAATTCACATGTTGGAATGCAGTACTTATTGATCTGTAACCTGTGAGTCAATGAAGATGAAATTACATCATCATTTTGTTTGGCAGACGTTGATAAAGACGTCTGAGCTTTCACTTTTATGTTATGATACAGAAATCCTCACATGCACTCTAAGCTCATTTAGATTGAAATGTCTCTACAGCAACAGACTCACTGTGTAACACCCTTATTTGAAACATATGTGTGTGTGTCTGTAAAACACACTCAGTAGTTGTCTTTGCTCATTTAAACAGTGGACGGAAATTGTCTGTCTTTTAAACTGAGACAGATCATTTTCTTTGAGTGCTTTCAGAGGAAGATAAAATGAAAATCCTCTGGATAGCTCCATAATGATACACACACATACTCCCACATGTACACGCTCAGACACACAATTTGTTTTATCTTTTATTCATGCTCATGTTTCATTTTCTCTTTTCATGCAATATGCCTGTCTACCTCCACATGGTGCCAGCCTAACAGTCGTAGCAGTAATATTAAGCTACTGAAAAATAAAAAAAATTTGTGACCTTTTCTGTCAAAACACTTTCCTCCTTTCGAATTCTTCACCCCGGAGCAAAAACAAACAAACATGGAGATGTTACAGCTGCAGAACAAGTAAACGGTTGTCAAGTTGCCAATTATTCTTTAGCATTAGGTTTAAGCTGGTGGGGGGCATGAAAGCATAAAGCCAGCGTCCACATCACAAAGTCTAGTGCTGAAAATAATCCCAGCCTATGAGACTACTAGCTCCCAGAAATGTTCTGCAGTAAAAAATATTCTTGCAGATAGAACCTAAAACTACTAAACTGTTTTTGCTCCCAGTATTCATATTAGTGCAATATCACTGTCTGTTTTAAGTTAATAAATGACCATAAAAGGATTTATTTTCCTCACCACCAAATTACAATAAACTAATGGAATTGAATCCAAAGTGAATTGATTTTTTTTTTTAAATGCATCCAGTTATCTGTGGCATATGTTTTTGTCTGTTTTGTAAAAAAAAAAAAACAGCAAGCCTAATTTAGACCAGAGCATCAGCACCTTTGTGCTCAGCAGTAAATGCTAATTGCACCCTGGTGCCAATCATAGTTATGCAAGGAGAAAAAACTGAGAATAAATAATATAATGCTCACTCGAGGCTGGGAGGTAAATTGACTTTGTCAGCTGTTTGCCGTGGTTTGAATTTCCAAAGGATAAAAGAGGTGAACCGTCATGAAGGGACATTTGTTTTATTATTCTCTGATTGTGGTGAGACTGATTTGAATGGCAGCCTCATTATTTGTTTTTTAGCATTACAGTTTATTATTATTATTTGTTCCTCTTTAGGGCTTTAATTAATGATTAATCGGTAACTAATTGATTAGTTGTTTGGTCTTATTTTATCTGCCCAACAGCCCACAACCTAAAGATATTTAATTTGCAATCACAACATTCAAAGAAAAGGAACTAGGGAACTTTTTTCTTGAAAAATTACTTCAATCAACGATTCGAAAATTATAGAAATCATAGGTGATTCATTTACCTTTCAGCTATTAAATATCAAATTCTAATAAGTAGGGACTATTTTTTCACAAGTGTACTAGCCAGTCCTTATTTAGGGTCATGAAGCAGTAAAGACTGACTATCCCAGCATGCGTTTCATTGAAGGCAGGAAACATTACTGAAACAGTTTAAAATCCATGAAGCCACAAGGGAAAACATGTTAACTTCACGCAGAAAGGGACAGGAGACAACTGAGGGTACTCATAATTTGAGTTGGGACAGTTAAAGGAATAGTTTGACATTTTGGTAAAAATATTCTCTTTCTTGCTGAGAGTTAGATAAGAAGATGACATTGAGCTACTGCTAGGAGCCAGTTTGCTTAGCTTAGCATAAAAACATGAAAAAAACATGAAAATAAATGGTCAGGAACTATTTGCCTACAGTTAACACAAGTTGCAGTTTTACTGGAAACTGATTTCTGCTAGCTTTGGTCAGAGCCATTGAAAGTATATATAATGGACAGAACAACCAGCTCTATGAAGTGAAGCCCACGTGGAAGTGTCTAAAACCTGCATTCTATGTAAATGCCAGCAGGGGGAGTTCCATTGGCTGCAATAAAAAACGATACCATGAACTCTCATGGAGAATTGACCCGACTCAGTGAACAGTTTCCTAATGAGTTTATGGTCTTAATCGCTAGTTTGAAGTCTTCTTCCACACATCATGATGTTCATTTAGTAAATTATGGTCCAATTTAGAGTAAAATAGACGATAAAGCAGGGTACGCTGTTGGGCGTGGCTACCTTGTAATTGACAAGTTATTTACAGTGAGTCTGACCAATACAAAGTAAATATTCTGTTTAGCTGTAATACGGGATCGCGTGTAACCAGGTGAGCTGCCATTGTTTTCTGCTACGGATGAGATGAAACTGGGCAGCCAATGAGAGCAGCTCAACTCGCAGTACGTCACCTCCCCTGGCTCCGACTGTCATGCCGATGACCATCACACTAAACGCAAGGCTTCAAAACGGTACTCCACAAACCAATGACTGACGTCACGATAGGGTCACACTTGGAACTGTTTCCAGTCTTTATGCTAAGCTAAGTTAGCCTTTTCAGGCTGTAGATTCATATTTGACAGGCATAAATGGTACTATAGAGGTATCAGCCTACTCTGTTATTACTTTAACAACTGAGCTACCATCTACTTGTAGAGATCTTCCTGCCTCCCTAATTGTTAGGGGGATAAGTCCTTTAATTTTGTTTCTCTGGGTCTCCAGAGAGCGGGGTACTCACCTCAGTCATTGCCTGCTCATTCTTCACACTGACAGTAAATTCTCACATCATCAGCATAATGGATGTGTTTAGTCTCAACTTGCATGGCTTTTACATCCTATGGGATCTTTCAGTTGAGAGTTTGTGCTCATTCACGTAATTGATTTCTGTTTTATCCCTCACATTGATTTTTTATTATTCCCAGTGTGTCTGTTTATACAGCCCTCCATCTTTCACAGCGCTGAGAAGCTGCTTTGCACCTCTTTATCTCATCATCTCTCAATTAAATGGTATAATCTTCAACAATTCACTTACTAAAGGAGCAGCAATATATCAGTGAACACAAAAAGCTTTTAAGTCGGACTACAACAAATCATATTTTCAATTTTGATCTTTTTCTTTCCCCATTTGATTTGGCTTTTTTGCTAAAAGAATAATTTAGTAACATTTTGGGAAATATGAAAGAAAGTTTATTTTCTTGGTGGATAACATGAAAGCTCTCCAAAAGTTGAAGTTGTTCAAGTGTTCATTTTCCTGGTACGACTGGATTTAATTAGTTATTTGAAGCTATAAAAAGAGGGTTTCTTGTCATGATTCACAGTTGAGCCCTGCCTCTCAATAAGTCGGCAGGGCGTATTGGCGGGATTTTGATACCCCAGCGGCCACACCAATCACTACTTCCTTGACTTTGGCCCCAAATGGCGAAAGATGGCGTCAGCCGTATCTGAGATATTTTGGCTTCATTATTGCACAGTGGGAGGAAGTGGACACACTGTCTATCTTTTACATGTCGATGGTCTGAACACATATTAAGTCTCACTAACAGCTAAATGCAGTGTCTTCCTGGAGTCATGCTGCTGTGACGTTGCCAGGCAACCAGGGCTATCGCCTATAGACACTATGCAGCATATAACCACAAAGCCCCCCCACAAATCGTCATTTTCACATTTAAGTTTGTGTAATGAGGAATCTAACAAGATACGTGTTAATTAGTGAGCTTTAGAGATGCCAGTGGATGTATTTTTTTATTGAAGAGAGAGAGCCACTCAGCTTGTTGTTTCTCCATTTCCAGTCTTTATGCTAAGCTAAGCTAATGGCCTCTCTTCTCAGCTCCATAATTAATGCACAGACATTATAGTAGTATTACATTTTGCATTTCAATTTAAGAAATACAATGTTTATCTAATTCTTGATTAAAACAGGTTAAAAGAGCAATCAAATATCCGAATTGTTGTTTAATTTTCAGTAAATGTTCTTTTATCATTACATTTGAATTATTTCTTCTTATATAATGTCCATAATACACATAAGTTTGGTCTTTTTGCAGAGGGCCACAAACTGTAGAACTTTACTGCTGTGATATGTTATTGTGTTTAAAATTCATTAAAATTCAATAAAAACATTTTGAACAATAAGCCTTAGGAGAAAGTATATCCTGAAAGACTTTTAATCCAAATTAAGATACAATATTCTACTTGGTATCTATATACACGAGAATTATGTGGCATATCTAATCCTCTCTCTCTGTCTGATCTGTGTGTGCTTCAGGGACGCTGCGCCTAGTCTTTGACAATGAAGTTCAACTTGTTCAGGCCACAGGCCGTGGCAGCCGCCGAGCCCACCGGCGCCACTACCATGACCATGGCTCCAACCTCAGTTGTCATCTCCACCTCCGCGCCGGACACCTCTGGCTCCAACAACACAGAGATTAGCAAGAATGACATGTTTGAGGAGATCAAGAGCAAATTCTTGAATGAAATTGATAAAATCCCATGTGAGTAATGTTCCTGTTGAAATTCAAAATGCTTTATGTATTACAAAAAGATAAAAAACAAAAACAATTTTTTTTGTGAGAAACATCAATCTCAATTTTTCTTCTGTTGTTTGAAACTGCTAGTGCCTCCGTGGGCTCTGATTGCCATCGCTGTGGTGGCCGCGTTGCTCATCCTTACCTGTTGCTTCTGCATAATCAAAAAATGTTGCTGCAAGAAGAAGAAGAACAAGAAAGGGAAAAAGGGCAAGGATGGCTTCAACATGAAGAACATGCAGGGTGGCGAGGTATGATGCCTTGTGCTACCTACATGATGAAAAGTCAGAGTAACAGGATGTTTTGGGTGATGTTTTGCCACTTCTTTTCTACAATAATTTATTATTCAAATTTTATTGTTATGTAACATTTATTGCAGATTTTTAAATTAATTTAAAGATGTCTCTAGCTAACCAAATTTGATCTTTTACCAGCAGCTTTTGTAGCCCAGGCTGTAGAGGACACAAGGAGAGCTCTCTTCCCCTCCATTTATTTGATGTTGTTGTTGTGATCGTTTAAATGTGTGACGTATTCCATTGTGGCGCCGTGGTGAAAAATGACACACTTTGTTACGGGATGGCAAAGAGTAATGAGAACTATGAAGTGGAAAGTTTCCTTTGACATGCCATAAGTACAAAAAGCTGCATTTTATAATGGAAGATAATGGATGAAAGCATGAGACCCGCAGAAATATTGGGAGATTTTGGAAGCAATGCACAGTAAATCAGAGGATACATGTTAGAAAAGCCAGTGATTTATTTGAGGACCATTCAACTAACATCACCATAGATTACCTTGAGCTCCAGTGACAGTTAATTAAAGCAATCAATTACCTATGTCCGCAACGTGAATTTATTGTCCACAGCCGAAAACAAGCGTGTCATTTTTCATCATAATTGTGGTGGTGGTGTTGACTGCCTCTCTTTTTGTAGTGTGTTTGGTGTCTTGTGAGTTGAATCTCTTCCTCTCTCTGCTCTCCTCCTTTTTTTCCCCGCTTTGTGTCTGTCTTGTGTGTGCCTCGTGTTTCTTGACTGTGGTGGACTCCCGCTCTACGGTAGGTGGATAGCTCACGTTGACGCTCTCTGGCCCCAGGGGCGGAGGGGGGGTTTCATGGAATGAAAGTCGTAGCTTCCTTTGCTTTTTTTTTCTTTTTAGCCCCCCAAACTTTTTTTTCTTTTTGTTATGACAGCTTGAAAATGTAACTATGGAAAGCTATGATGTGCTCCATAAACCCCCAGAGAGGAGAGTCTAACCATCTAACACATTGTTCCTGGGACAATGTAACTGTAACTCACACCAATATGGAAAGTATTGGACCAAGAGTTGATATGCAAGACACTTTTTAACACTAATAATCTATGCATGTGATAAAGGGCATGGTTGGTTGTTTGGGAGACATGGAAATGGTGATGATAAAACTGCATGAAGAGCCAAATACTTGCAAATCTGTCACTTTGATTGTAACACTCGAGGAGGAGGTAGGATGTGGAGACACTGGATGGCCTGAAAAAACATTTCAAAGTCAAGGTCACCTCAGCAATGAGGCTTTAATTTAACTATAATAATAACACTGCAGCAATACGACTCTACATTATTCAAATAGCTGGCTGTGCCCTTTAATCCTGAACCATTTATTGTAATAATGGTGAGTTGAAAAGAGAGGCATTTTTTGGTGCCACATAAATTTGGAGGTGAAACAAAGCATGCAGGTTACAAACGTTTTGGATTTTATCTTGAAATAAGAAAGTTGTGAATGTAGGATTTAGTAAAAGAACACATCCTGCTAAAAGCAGTAGGTTACTCGAAAGCCATCTCCTTGCACTGAATAGTATGTCTTATTTGCCTTTTATCATTTTAATATGCACTGCCATTTGCTGTTGTGAGCTAGTTCCTTAGGGGTTTTTAAATAAACATTTACCTCCTTGTTCATTCGGTTAAATCAAAGCTTTTTGACAAACAAGAGAACTATGCTAATATCTGATTTCATTGGAAAGCTGTTGCATTTATTACCCCTATTAGTGGAACTAGCATGCAAAGCCTCCACTGACTCTGGCTGTCACTGTACTGCACAAGCATGTCGAAGGAATTGCCAAAAACTCTGAGAGGAGAAGACGTGCAGAAAGTATAAAGATGTATTAATGTTACCAATAGAGGTGTCTCACCTTGTAAATGATAAATCCCTGGTTATTATCATCAGGTGCTGTGCAGGTAAGCAGTAACCAAAACATGTATCTCCCACGTAAAAACTCCTGGAGCTCCAGTGTCTGTGGCATGCTGGCTGTCGTGGGGAGCCCTGTATTCTGATCCCTGGTGCTCCGACCTTTAACACCATGTCTTGTCTTGTTACCTTCACACCACAGAAACACCAGGACGACGATGATGATGAGGGAGAGACCGGACTGACGGAGGAGGAGAAAGAGGAAGAGGAAAAAGAACAAGAGAAACTGGGGAAGCTGCAATATTCTATAGATTATGACTTTGAGAATACAAAGGTCTGTGGTTGTCCCATGTTGAAGCATATTGAACAATTTTAGATGTGTAAGATTTTATCGAACTGTTTTTCATAAAGAAGTTTTGTTAATTTTTCCACTATTCTGAAGAAATAGTTCAACATTCTGGGAAATACACTGATTAGATTTCTTTCTGAAAGTTAGATGAAAAGATTTATACCATTATCATGTGAATTTAGCAGCCAGTTTGCTGGACTGGAAGCAGAGGGAAACAGTTAGCCTACCTTTGTTAATGGTTAGAAAATCTACCAACCAGCACCTCTAAAGCTCAAGATATATTGTGGTAATAACTGAGCTTTGGAGGAACAGGTAGTCAGATTCTACTACCTTCAGGCAGAGCAGGCTACCTGCTCCCCTCTGTCCTTATGCTAAGCTAACTGGTGGCTGGTTGTAGCTGCCTATTGAATGGACAGATATGATATCAGTGGTATAAACCTTCTCATCCAACTCATGGCAAGAAAGTGAACAATGTCCAACTACTCCTTTATGGTCAGATCCTTGCAAATGTCTAGACAGCTTCTATGAAGAACCTCAGCAGAGCAACAGAATGATCATTTTTGCAGAAAGGCTAATGTAAAATACATAGTTTTCAATAATTCTGGCTGAGGGAAAACCCTTTTGTCAAAGATTATGTAACTTTATCATCGTTGCATTATATTATCATTACTGTAATGCTCTCGGCAGCATACGGGCACAGTGGTAGTATGGCATGAATTAATGAGGGTTTAAGTGCTGAATCAAAGAGGAAATGCCTTAACTTAAGTCAACATAAAACAAAGCACTAGAATAAAAGCTGTACTTGAAATTTGTTAATTCTATTTGTACTTATAATGTATAACTAGCTGGAAAATATATATATATATATATATATATATACATACATGTTATAGTACATAAAAAATAGTTTCCAGAAGCTATCACACTGTGACAATTGTGTGACATTGAAGAAAACCCTCTGACATTCAATTCGTCTCCAGTCAGGCAAGAAGTTTGGTGATTGATTGCATGGCTTAAGTTGTCAGATGATGTTACATAACCAGTCTCTGCAGCAGTGACCCTGACACAAATAAATCTTATAAATGTTGAATTTTTGCCTGATAAAATTCTATCTCCATTTCCCCTGTCCCTTACACCTTGCCCACACTTCCTCTGCACACAGCTCACAGTTGGCATTCTTCAAGCTGCGGACCTCTTGTCCATGGACTCAGGTGGCACATCCGATCCTTACGTTAAAGTCCTGCTCCTACCTGAGAAGAAGAAGAAGTATGACACCAAAGTCCACAAGAAAACACTGAACCCTGTCTTCAATGAGACATTTGTATTCAAGGTAAGTCTTGTCAGTATGTGTGGAGATTAAATACGTCCACGGTTGGAGAATTTGGTGCAAAAGGTGTGCATCCTGCTTTCTAGTCCATGCTGCCTTGATGCGGCTGTTATAAACGGAGAGTGAAAGAACCGACTTTTATGGATGATAGTGAGCAGGTTTGTGTTTTTATTTAAATTGAGCTGAACAAATAAATCATCATAACCCACAGCTAGCTGTTCCTTATAGTGTGTACGTGTAAAAGGACTGACTGTATCAGTCTGTCAGTTTCTCAGGATGTGTGTACCCACTGGCAGCTTGCAGTACAGGCTGCTCTTTCCTTTCCTGGCTAATAAAGCCCATAGAGACTTTACAAGTGCCTCTGGGTCACGCTGGAAGCGCTGCCTGTCTGCAAATTTTGCAGCAACAAAAATACAAATCTTCTTTGAGAACTGTTCTCTCCCATTTCATTGTGAAGGTTTAAACACTGATTACTTTTTTCAATTTGAAAGGATTTTTTAAATTATTTATTAATCATTTTATTTATTCATGTCTTGACAGGAGGACTGAAAACAATGGTTTGTGAATAGAAATGTTTCAGTTACAGCCAACATCATGTTGTCTTTTCTTATACTTTATTATACGTTCAGATCTGAGATAACTTGTTTTTTTTATTTAAATGCTATTTGTCCTTAAATACATGGTAATAATTCATATTTAATTTTATGCTTGTATTCTTGTAATCATTCATTCACTGAATTTCCATTGTAGCTAAAAATGTGTGTCAACCTGTTGTTGCACTTCTAAGAAAACTGAACCAGTCACAGGAAATTGACCAGTGACATTTTCAAATTCCCACATTAAATCTAACATTTAGTGTTAACTTTCTGAAACTAGTTCCCTCTACTGTAGTCTTTTCATCTCATTATTTGAGGATTCAATTCACTTTTATAGTCATATAATCACTAATGGAACAAAGGTAAGGTAAGGTATCAAGGTATAAAACAACACATCATTTTGTTTGTCGAACAGGTTCCCTATGAAGAGCTCGGTGGGAAGACTCTGGTGATGTCTGTTTATGACTATGACCGATTTTCCAAACATGACGTCATTGGTGAGGTGAAGATTGCCATGAACACCATTGACCTTGGACGACCAATAGAGGAGTGGCGGGACCTGGAGAGCGCTGATCAAGAGGAGGTACTGTTAAGAATCAAACTTTTGCTGAGATAATTTGATAAGTTACATGCAGTGGTTAAAAGAGACTCAAAATCACAATTTTATGATAATTTTGATAACATTGCACAGCCTTGGAATTCTAAGGCTAAGATATTGGACATGTTTTTATACTGAAATGAACCCTTTGATGCTAAAATAAAAATTTCAGCCCAAACGAAAAAGAGCATGTTGTATAGCAGATGGTAGCTGAGAGCATTTTGCTTTAGCTCATCATCATATGCTAAAGAAAATCAGTTTTCTGACTTTTTTGGTTGGCTGCTGAACATGTGTGCTTGTCATCTCTGTCTCTTCTCTCTGTGCTGACTTCTCAGCCTGAGAAACTCGGAGACATCTGCATCTCCCTCCGTTACGTCCCCACTGCCGGCAAACTCACCGTCTGCATCCTGGAGGCAAAGAACCTGAAGAAGATGGATGCCTGTGGATTATCTGGTAGAAAAATGCCAAAGCCAGTTTTAATTTACAGTGTTATGAACAGAATCTAGATTGCTACACCTGCATTAGGATTGGTGCTGTTGCGAACAGTTTAGGCTTCTTTGTTTTTGGGTGTAGACATTTTAGAAGATCACTGCACTTATGGCACACTTCTAATGTGCAAAAAGGCTTAAAACATCAAATATGGAGAAAAGAAGGCTTTGCACATTAGAACCTTTGTTGGTACAATCCCAGAGCTTATAATGACTTCAAATAGAGCAGTGGTTCACAATCTTTTTGTGATACACATCTCAGACCAATATTTGATAAGATGTAGTCTCAGGGTTCCCAATCTGATAAGATTTAGTTATTTAATAACTAAATAGACACAGATTAACAGTAAAGAGTGTGACAGCTAACAGAATAGTCATACTTGTACATTCTCTCATTGGTTTAACTTCTAGTCAATAAAATAATTTTAAAATATTCCAATTCCATTTCTGAGGACCCCTTGGAACCCCCTCAAGGACTCCTGGGGGTCACCAGGGGCCTGTGCTTTGTAATTCAGCAGTGCTAAATTCCTTTAACACAACATTTGTCACTGTCAAGTCAGTAATCAGGAAATCAAAATGATGGAAATACATATCAGAATTGATAAAATGGAAGTTGATATTGCAGAAACAACAGAAATTGCCTTGATGGTCTCTATTGCTGATCATACTGATGCTCTTTCCAGATCCTTATGTAAAGATCCAGCTGCTGCAGGGGGGTAAGCGCCTGAAGAAAAAGAAGACTACAGTGAAGAAGAACACCCTTAACCCTTACTATAATGAATCCTTCAGCTTTGAAATCCCTCTGGAACAGATGCAGGTACATTACAAGTCAAACCAAAATTGTATTTTTAAGTTAATTACCTATGAGTAAAGCAAAGTGTTATTTCTCCACTTTACAAGAAGTTGTAAAGGTAGTTTACGCTCATATTTTGATAACAGAAATTACACACTGTCTCTTGTTCCATTCTTAGAAAATCTTGGTGGCGGTCACAGTGTTTGATTATGACAAGATCGGTAAGAATGACGCCATCGGAAAGATCTTCGTGGGCAGTAAGGCGACAGGCTTAGGTCTGAAGCACTGGTCTGACATGCTGGCTAATCCGCGCCGCCCCATCGCCCAGTGGCATCCATTGCAGCCAGAGGAGGATATTGATGGTCAGCTGGCATCCTTGGCTGCAAAGAAGTAACGTGCTCCACCAACCAGCTAATGCACTAACTCAGAAATCCAACCCCCACCCCTACTTTGCATGAAACCCATGACTTAACACGTGACTACTCGTCATGAAACCTGCTCAGCAAAAAAGAGACATCATAGAATATCCGCTCATTCATGGTTAAGTCGGAAAAAAACTATTTTTAAACATCACATTTCACACATTAGTGTATGCTGAGAAGAGTGGCGTTGAGTTTTCGGGTGACTGGTTCATGAATGATTGACTTTTGGTCTTTCTTTCATTTGAAGAAACTGATTCTAAGGGTGCTGTCACTGAATGAAAGTTTTGGTTGAAGACAATGCTGGAAATAAAGCTTTAGTTTAGTTTATAGAGCATGCTTTACTTACCTCCCCACTGCTCTGCATACACCATGCCCAGTATTGTATCTTGCTAATAAGTGTGCTATAACTTGCAATAGAAAGTACTGTAGCATTGGGTTATTTCCTGCATAGAGTCTGTTTAAGTCTATAAATGCAAAAAGATTTAATTGAGAGTGAATGAGCCCAAGGTCACTGAATGTGATCCATGTCCAAATCTGTCTTCATTTTATTAGCTCACATTTGAGAAGACGATGCATACAGTACAGTACGGTATACAGTATGGCAGGAGTGACACAGTTGTCTGATCCAAGTTGCTTGTGCTTTTGTGTTGCCATGAAGGCACGACTATGCATTTAGGTTCAACATACATTTCTGTTTCTTTAGACAGATCTAATGTAGGACAGGAATACAAGGGTGCCTTTCCTGATGACAGCTTCATTGTTTTGTTTAGAAGGGAATATCATTCAAAAGTAGCCAGAGACACTGTGAATGTGCCATCTGGAATCTGTCCTGAGCTGTGTTGACCATTTGGATGTAAAACCTTACTTATCTGTGGACAAAGTAAGTATACTGGAAGGCTAACCAATGATGTTCAATCCAATTATGACTATGCTTCTTTTAACTTGCTACCTGAAAACAGTGCCATCTAACATATTTTTGTTTTGATACCCCTTAAACGGATTATATGTCTTTCTCTGAAGATTGTTGTAGTTTACCAAACATACTGTAGTACTCTTCAATACTTTAATAGCTTCTGGTGAAACAACATGAGGATTTCTGTCCAAGACGAGATGTTTTTATAGAGAATTGAATTTGAAATGTAAGATGTAGCTGCACTTTTTAAGATGACGAGAATTCAAGTACAGAATGCAGGTTTGTAAAATCCCAACAGGACAAGTGCTACATCAAACATATAATACAATAAACATATCTTGGACCATTTGCTTGAACCAAATAGAGCTGCAGAATCTAGCATGTATCATGCCCCACAGTATTTCATGTTGTTTGAATCGTTCACTCATCAGCCGCAAGCTTTGTAAACCTGGAGTGCTGCAACATGGTGGTGGTACAAGTTCATCACAGACATCCTGCATTACTGTGAAGTGTAGAAGTACGGAGGCGAAAAATGCCATGAAGATTTGAATATTATGAGCAACTCAACACCTAATGTTTAATCACCACTGAATACTTAATACTGAAGTGTTAATACAACTGAATTTATAGCATTCAAATATTTTTACCTGGAGAAAAATGTATTCATGTGGTGAATTTAAAATGCGGTTCACTCAGGATAACCAATTGAGCCTGAATGAAAGGATCAGACCTCTGTCCTATAGCAGTGATTCCCAACCAGAGGTATTTTTTTTACCCCAGGGGGGAACTTCTGCAGTTAAAAAAGATAAAAATTATGATTCAAAACAAAGAAAAATGAAGAAATCTAGAAGTAAAATAAACACACAAATAGGATTACAAATTGATGTGATGCTGATCTTTAGTATATTTACTGTCACAATAATCAATAGTTAGAAAACTAGTTGGCGTTAGAAAATGATTGAAATGTCCAGCTTTATCAAGCATTAATGGTAATGAACATTTACCAAACCTGAAAAAAGATCCCAGAATCACCATACCATGTCTTGTATGAAAAAAGTATTGTTAAGGTATCTACTATTTTACAACAAATACAGAAAAATAACAACAATTTTAAAGGATGGTTGGTGTCAGTGAAGGTGTATTTGAGCTGTGAGAATAGCAAAACCAAACAATTGCACAACTTGAGGTGAATTTAAACAATATGAATTCAGAAAGATTAGATTAGAAAAAATATTTCAATTCTATAATTTCAGTGGTATTAAAATCTGATTAAGTATGCTGTAGAGATTCAATTTATTATTCAGATTTAGGTGTTAAATTGGTATTATTACAGACTTTCTTTGCTTCAATAGGACATGATGTCACCAGAAGGAAAAATAATTCTGCAGGAGGGTGAACAGCAGCACACTGATTGGTCCATACATAATATTACTTCTTCCTATTGTTAACATTATGCATCACGCAAATTTGTTAATAGGCTACAGCATGTATTTACAAGATGATGTAAATAGTAGCATGTTTTAAAGAGGAACCATAATTATATTGTGTATGTGTGTTTGTGTTCTGTGTCCTTTTTGATAATAAAACGGAGTAAAAAAGAGTATGCACTGACTGCAAAGTGTATGTATTTTTGCTGAATGGGACTGAATGTGTGTCTGAATAATCCATGTTAGGGTTCACAGGCTCCTTTAACTCCTCGAATTAAAGCAGGGTTGCTTTGTGTATCATCTGTAAAAAATTCACTTAGTTTGCCATGATGCTGCATGATTGTCTGGTTTTCTGTCACCCTTTGTATGTGTCCTCTGTGCTAAATCCAGTGTTACAGTATGCTTGGGCTACAAGTCATGTAATTATTGTTGATTTCTGCTTGCACTTGTTATACAGTATGTGTTGGTCGCTGACCAGTAAACTGTATATATTTGAAAAAGAGGAGAATATTTGCCGGCTCCTTGATTTTCTATCTCAGTGTACCGTAAGTGTTTCCTTCATTTACTCCTGCCAGATGGGTGTCAAGTCTTAGTTTGTAGATACAGTGGACGACTTAATCGACTTGTAGCCCCCTTTTTCCTTCCGTATTTCATTAATGTGGATCTCATCTTATTGCTATTCAAATAAACCTGCTCTCACATGTTTGATTATTCTTTTTAACATGTGAAATGTCAGAAGTCAGCAATTTGCACATAAAATGAACCCAACTTTGTAATTTCTTTTTTAAATTATTATTATTTCTTTGCTGGAATAGATCTGCATATTATTGATGCAGACCCGTTAAGTAGTTCATGTTACTAAGCAATCAATAATCCTTTCATTATAAATGTCACTTCATGAATGAACAGTTTTACTAATGGATTGCAATGGGATGAGCTGTGTCACTTGTGCATGCTCTGAGATATGGACGCTGTGTCTACCATGACATCTCTAATGTGGGGATTTGTTTACCCCGTCTGCTCTTCTGAGTCACTGTCATTTACTGTTAGATAAACCTTTATTTACAGTGCATGAAGATAAACAATCCTAATCTTCATGACAATCCATATTTTAGAGTATAATGTAGCTATCTCTCTATGTTCGAGGGACTGAGAGGAATACATACCAGACACATTTTTACCATTTTAATATCAAGTCTATTTTGAAGATTTCCACAATGTGGTTTCAAATTTAAGTTCAGATCTTATTGTGGAGGAGCACCACGTTACATCCTTTTATACAAAGTGTGTCAGGTCATCCTTTTCTTAGGGTGAGTTAATATACTGACTCTCATCACCCAGGTATATGGGCTGCCATCAGATTCTGTCTGCTATTTTGTGTATTTGCAATAGGACCAATAGAGCCTGTATTTGTTTGTTGCTGTTCTGTTAATGGACTAGTCTGTCACTTTTCTGCAATGCAGGCAACAAAATCCCCGTCTTCCTGGGTCTCACAAGCTATCTTGAGCACAGAGCAGACCCAAACAGTGCAGAACAACATTCGCAATGCAATACTGCCAACCTTGCTGCTTCAATAATGGTTCCTCTTTAGTCCTCTTATGTGAACATAGCCATGATACAGAACATCCAAAGACTTGATCGTCATCTTATTCCATCACGCATTCACTTTTAGAGCAACACAGACAAGGGAAATGCTTGAACGTCTTTCTTGACTCTTCTTGTTTTTGTCTTGTTGTAGAGGTGTGTCAATAGTTGTGCCTTTTTGTGAAATGCATGATTTATTTCCGTACAAAATCCATGTTTTCCAGCAAAAAAAAAAAAAAAAAAAGGGAACAAAAAGACCAACAAACTTGTACTCATATATCACTCTATGTAGAATTACTCAAGGGAACCAAAATATGGTATGTGGTCAGGACATATCTGTGTGTTGTCAAAATGTAATCATAGGAAATAAAGGCATTTTAAGTAGCCTTGTCCTGTGTGGTGTGTAAATGGAATCAAAGGATGCTTTTCCACTTATGGCCAGTGGATGGCATCATACACTGCATGAGAAAAATGGGAAGCAGTGTTGAGCAGCACATGTTATATCCACTTCTCTGATGTAATATAAATGTTTTGTATTATTCTGAGTGTAGGCACACGATATGGTGTCATTTTAATTGTCTCTAGAAGAGAGAAATTGTAAACAGAGAGTTGGGACTAATTTTAGGGCTGTTATTAAAATTATACATGATCTATGATAATCTTAATCAAACATGAGGGGATTCTGTGAAATATAAATGGTACTCATTAAATCTTCTGAATGTGAGACAGAAAATAAATTATAGCCAATGTGGTGCATAAACACAACAGGTATTTGTGTTCAGTTGCGATTATCATGAAATTAAAGTAAAAGAGAGTTCCCTTCACTTCAATGGGATGTTTTTAACAGTACTTTAGTGTTTCGTTGACATTTAAAACAGCTGTTGACAGAACAATCTCACCCCAAGGTTCATTGAGTGGCGGTTCTGGAGCTTTGGGTTATGTCACATGATCTTCATCAGCAGCTGGAGTTTGCCCGGTTGTTATGGGACGGTAGATGTTCAGATTTCCTATTTATTAGCACTTTAAGGACTTCTGATCTATGTTGAGTTTAAAGTTGAAAACAGCAACTGGCAAAACAATCTCACTTTATCACACATCACTAAAGATCATTATGTTTATATGATCTTTATGTGACTGAAAGCTCCAAAACAGCTAATAAAGGGACCTTAGGGTAAGATTGTTTTGTCAAACCTTCCCACCCCTTTTTGCCCTGTGCTCTTTCCTTATGTGCTAGGCTCATCTAGGGTAAAAAGACAACCACATTTTGAAGATGGTTAAAGGTCCAGTGTGTAGGATTTAGTGGCATCTAGTGGTGTAAATGTAGACTGCAAGTTCCTCGCTTCTTCCAAGAGAGAAGGACTTTGAAGCCTACATCAGTCATTAGCTAACTAGCAGCTTACTTCATTATAAAACACTAGCTAGTTAATTATGTGAATCTTTAGTTAGCTGGTTAGCTAACATTTTGCTTACATTATCTAGTTTAAGAATCCTTTGTTGTTTAAAGTTCACACAAAAGGAAAGCAGAGGGCTGCTTCCTCATATTTACATGATTACTGTAAAAATAGGTCGCGATAACCAACAGTGCTGAATTCTAACAAGCTAACAACAGCTAATATTACTTTTAGCGGCAGTTAGCTACGTTTAGTAATAGCGCTATCCATTTGTCTCGTAAATCCCCCCGACTGAGTTGCTCTGACGCGAGAACGTGACGTAATTACCTGGCTTGTACCACTTATAGCGTTCCATTTGTCTTTGGGCATTACGAGTGGAAAGAACATGGACGCCACGAGTGCCGCAGCTGTGTTGTTATTGTTTGTGGCTCATCTAAACAAGCTCAATGTGAAATAATAATAATGTTTTTCTACAGAAACACTAACATTTCAAGTAATTCCGTTATTGCAAGTCTTACATTTCAATAATATTTTGCCATTTTCGCCTATTTCAATTTCAACAAGTGCTGTGGCGTTTGTCTCTAGCCTCCAGGGGCCTCCAGGAGCCTCCAGGGGCCACCAGGGGCCACCAGGGGCCACCAGGAGCCACCAGGGGCCTCCAGGGGCCACCAGGGGCCTCCAGGGGCAGTGGCAGGCTACTGTTATTGTTAGCTACATTAGCCTATTTAGCAAACCAGCTCGAAAACAAAACTTTACATTGTATTGCACGCACAGCAACACCGTGCAATGTATAAATTGGTGACCGGACTAAAGCAGCAATGTAAACAAGTTTCCATTTAAAATCGACATTAAAACGACCAACGTAGTACACATACAAAGAAAATACATCTCAATATGGGTGCAGTCATCTTTGTTTTGCGAGTCGTACGTTCGTCCTCGTTCAGCTCGGTGGACCCTGAGGAACCCCAAATGGGATGGCTGAATTTGTGACCAACAGGGGGTGTGTCTCGGTGAAATGTTGCGTGATAGCTGCGAGATTTACACTTTCCAACTCGGCCGGGGGATTTACGAAACAAATGGATAGCACCATTAGTCCATCAGGAAACTCCGCCTCCGTACTGCTGTCATCAAACTGACCACCGTCTGTCTTGGAGGCTGTATTGGTCGGTTCACGCTAAATGTAAGCACGCGTCACATATTGTTTTACAGGAAGAAAAATATTATTGGATTTCAAAATAAAAGTAAAATAAAAATGAATAAAAGAAATGGAATACTGGTATTTTTTTGACATTCAGTGTGAAAGAACCTAGTTGTAAAATATGACAAAGAATGTAATCTTAAAGGGTTAAAAAGTTTTTCTTTCTTTCTTTCTTTCTTTCTTTCTTTCTTTCTTTCTTTCTTTTTCATCTGAATTTTAACCATCTTCATAATGTGGTTGTGATTTCAACATAGAGGAGCCTAGCACATAGAACATACACAAAAGTATAAAGTTGTTACCAAGCTTGCTTAAATGTTATTGGAGCACAGAGAGAAAAGGGGCGGGACTTAGGAAGGATCAATTATCATTACTTGTTTAAAATGAGAACCTGAAGCCTCTCCACACATCATGAATTGATAGATTCATATTTTACATGCAAGTCTGGTTTTGCTTGAGTGCTGACAGTTAAGAGGCAAAATAAGGGGCATTTTCTTTACTCCGTGACATCCTTTTGTATGCATTTGATTGTTTTTATATTGCAGGTTAAGAAGAAAAAGCTTTTCTTTTGTGACATCATTTTTCAAGGTAAAGCTCCTAAATCAGAGATGACGCTCCCATGTTCCTGAGAAATGTAGCCCATCCATCATCCGCTGTCCCTAATAGCTCCGAGCCGATTTTCAAGGTCTGCATATGGAGTGAACCAAATATTGCAGTTTCCATGGTAATACCTCCTTGGAAATACCTGCAATATTTTGTCCATTTAAGTATGCAGGGGTATTCTTGATATGATTACACAGTTTTATAAATGGTTTTCTCCTGGACAATTTGTTCATAGAAACACAGTGAAGAAAAACACATATAATGTTCGTGCTGGCATGAATGATGATTTTTAAGATGAATTTCAATTGAATGTGTTTTCTGTCTGGGAATGTGTTACTGCTGTAGATCCACTACAGTAGCAGGAAGTTTATGTGAAATGTGTCTTTGTCCCTGCAAATGTTTGATACTCAACAGACAATGAAAAGAAAGTCAAGTTTCCAAAATGACTGGAAAACTATGTACATATATTCTTTTTGAGGATAGGCTGAATGTAAGAAATATGCAGGTATATAAATATAGATGCTGGTATCCGCCCCTCTTCTTCTCCTTCTTCCTCTCTCACTTGGACAGTTTAGTGATGACCCGGATTAAAGCTCCATTCTCATCCTTCAGTCTCTGGTTCTCCGTCTTAAGCTCTGCCTTAACCTGAAGAAAAAGCACGAGACAACTTAAGTGGGCACAGATGTAAAATGGCATGTTACTGATAACCTGCAGGCTCATAGCCCTGGATGTCTTATATGATAATGGTCAATGTAAGAAGGCACTACAGGTCTACAGTTTGTATGGTCATTTTTGCAATATAATACAGTAACTGTACAACTCATTTTGTGGATTGCAGCACTTGTATTTTTGAAATGAGTTCCTATTTCGGTAGTATTTTCCATGGCGTGCACAAATGTTCTGGTTTGGATTTGTGGCGATTTCAACAACCTTTTCAGCTTCCTTCACGTCAAAATGGAGTTAAAAGATTCGGGGGGCCAGAACATTCATGACAAATATGTAACGCTACTCCTTCAAAACAATGGCTTTTACCTACTTGCAAGACCCAGGGTGTACTATAGCGACATAACCTTTAAAAGTCCGCATTTTTTTTCAAGTTTATCTTAACACAGGTACAGGGTTTTACTTTTCTTTAAAACAAAAAATACAAAAAAGAGTAATCTGATCTGGATAATTTATCACAATAAACATACAAACACACAATCTTGCATTCAGTGGCACACAGACACAGTTTGACAAGTCTTGCTCATTTAAATACACATGACAGTGCTTCTCTGTTGTGAATGTCTATTTTCAGACCAGCATCCCATGTTTGTTTAGACCTCTCATTCACAGATAACAACAGGTTTTTGTTTGTATCCTCTTGGGCATAACACAGCAGACATTTGTGAATGTTACACTGTAGATGAATACAGATGGCTCACTTGCTGCAGTATCAAAGTGCTTACACATTCCTCAGCCAACAGAGCATAATGGTGACAAATGATGTCAGCTAAAAACTCTGTAGACAGAGCAGCTAACACCACGGCTCCAAGTCCCACACACACTTTATACTGTTTGGCTTCGACTGTTTATTGTTTTCAACATGTCAAATAAGCTTAACTTTCTCCTGGGCAGGAGATCCTGCCTTATTGTTCACTATTCATATTTTTACATCAGACTGAATTTGAAAAAATGGAAGTGAATATTAGGGGAAAATGGCTGATTTATAAAATATCTGAATTACCTTCAACTGTTCTTCCATGTCTGATATCTTCTTTTTTAGACTCCAACTCTCCTATGAAGAAAAATATTTAATAATAATTAAAATCAATAAATCAATATAAATAAAAACACTTAGAATAAAAAAACGTTATTAGTATATAAGGGTGAGTTCATACCTTTTTTTCTGTCTCAAGCATATTGGAGCCACAATCTCCTGGTCTTCCCTTCTGCTACAATGAAAAGATTATTATGGAAATTATAATATTATAGTACAAAGCCTTGATACTGTATGATTATGGGTGCTGCACTGTCATAACAGTGAGCGCATGTGTCTGATGTAAAATATCTAATATACCCACAGTTGCACACAGAATCTCTAAAAAGGCTGTCAGACCTGGAAAATGACATTAATTACATCGCAGCTTCCTTGTGTATCTGCTATCTCTCATGTCACATTTCTGTCACATTACAGTATCACCTGATATCATCATAAGAATATATGAGAGACATTTCTGTCTATACTGACAGGAAAAATCTCAGTGATTTAAATTATGACTCAGAGAAACTTTTGGGTACTTTTTCAGTTGCCTCTTCAGAAACCATTTCCTTCAGTTCTTTCATGCTCATGAATCTGGATTGGGCACATTAACTACCAACTACTGTATGTAGGCTGCAGTACCTGTGCTCGCTGCAGCTGGTCCTGAATCATGGTGAGTTCCTGTTTACTTGTTTCCAGCCTGGACTTGAGCCTTTGATTGGTGGCCAGTGCCTTTTCATACATCTACAAAATATGCAATTGTTAGGATGTCCAAAGCAGTGTTTGATTGTTTTCACAGCAAACAGACTAACAACTTACGGATTGGACTGCCATGAGATTTTGTCCAGACATTCATGTTCCCCTCAGGATTCATTGTTATAACTTTGGTGATTCTCTGACTTTTTATGTAGTACCATCATGAGTTCAAAGATTTTGTTTTAAGACCCATTATGTTCAAACCTAATGACATTCTCACAAGCCTCAGCTGTACTTTGTGTTTAGCCTTGTTTGGTGCCTAAAGCATGCTGACTACTAAACTAAGATAATGAACAGGTTAAACATAATACCTGCTGAATGTCTGTATATTAGCATTATCATTGTGGGCATATTAGCAGGTTAATTTTAGCATTTAGCTCAAAGTATATGCCTAACTACAGCCGCTCAGAGCCACTAGTAGGTTGTTTTGATTTATAAATGAATCCTTTAGTCTGTAAAATATCAGACAAAATGAGGCCTTCCAATAGACCAGCAGTCAGGAAACTCAATGATATTGAATTTTAAATTTGTATAAAAAAGGTCACATTTGCATAATAAATTACTTAGATTATCACATATCAAAATCCCAACTAATTTTGTCAACCAACTGATTAATTGACATTTATGTGACATTTTGTTGTGTACTTTTATTCTGACATTTCTGTGCAGGCGCTGCAGCATCCTTTATTTGCATTGGATAATTGACAAAGGCTCAGCCATATAAGCTGAAAACCACTTGTGGAATAAAATGCTGACTCTTCAAGTAAGTTAGCTGTCAAGAGATCACATTTCCTTTGTTACCTGAGCACCAAAAAAAAATACAATACTACCAACTGCATCACCTGCCTTTTTATAGTCATTGTTTGCACTCTCCTCTTCTGCCTTTTTCCTTGCAGACAGTCTGTTCTCCCTCCGTAAGAAGTAGGACTCAGCGTGGTTTGTTGATGTGTCGTTGGAGACATCAGAGGATCCAGACGAGCTCAACCTGACAACATAAAAGAGGTATTAACTACTCGAGTCAGTCAGAGTTGATTATCACTAAGTCATTAATCAGTTTGTTTTTTCGTCATTCAGGTGATAACTGAATGTTTTTTGTATGTATGCAATGGTGTGAATTAAATTAGAGGATTCTTACCTAGACAGTCTCTCATGCTGAAATAGAGGAGAAATGTTTTAGAACTGGCTGACCAAAATAAAATATGTAAAAACAGCACCGCCAATGTAAGGTTTTTGTAAGGACATTACTTACTTAAGGTTTCATCTAATCCTGATTTAAACCTTACATGGCATAAACAAGTCATTCAACCCCACCATGACCTGTCCTCTATTTCAGTAGATGCTCATTACTGTACAAATAATGACATCACACAGCTTGACTTCATCATTTGCTTGACAGGATGTTTGGTAATTATGTAAGATTTATAAAGTACAATAGGGAATCAAATCCACAAATGAGGTTGTATTTTGTACCATGTTGACCATTTCCTCTCCTTAATATTGTAACCATGCAGTAAACATACACACAGGACATATTTTATTACAATGTACAATGTCAGCAAACACATTAATTATCAGTACATCTATAAAGCTCAGTGATTCTTTGAAGTGACATTACCAGGAATCTCTTATGAAAGACTTTTTTTTTTTTTCAGTTTTCCAAGAAAAGGTTTATGGCAGTCTTACATACCAAGCCAAGTTAAAGAAGGAGAGAGGAAATGATCCCTTAAATAAACTGACAAGCAGAGATAACTAAACACATCCAAAAAAGGTAATAGCTCTCTGGCAGTGGCTTTCACAATTTGTTCATTATGGCCAGCTGAAGCTGGAAGGGTTGTACGGCAGAGCAGAGCCTAACAACAGCTAAACAATAAAAACTCACACTCTCTGAAAATGAAGAGAAAGTGGAGCATAGTATGTACTCGACAAATGTTTTATTCCTACAGCACCAGTAAGAGTAATATGAACCCCAATCAAATATGCAGATACAGATATACGGCGAGTCTATTTCTATAAACTTTCACTGTATTTATTTATTATATATATCACCAAGGATTACATTACAATCATTTGGGCTTTAAGTGACTTATAAGTGCAGGCAACCTTGATAGGAACATGAGGTAGACGTGATCAAAATTGGAAATGTATCGCTCTCAAACTAACAATTTAAAGTGTATTCAGTGTTACAATGCAAGTGGGACAGCAATGCCAGTCTGTTGGTCAGTTTACTTTGGTCCAGACCTTTTTCACCGACACCATTTGGACATAAAATAGTAGGGTAAACACAGGTGTTACAAATTATACTCCATTTAGTGTAGCAGAGCCTTTCCAGTGAGGCAACATGCACAACAGCAGCACCCTGACTCAGTTTGACCTTAATGGAGTGGACCCTTAATAAGTATCATTGGTAACGCTTGTGTTTAACTTACTACTTCATGTCAAAATGGCTGCTGTGAAAAAGGTCTATTGGATTGCCATGACATTTTGTACATCCATGAGCCCCAGACAATAAATCCTAATGGCTAATGTTCAGGTTCACAGTTGTGGTTTAGAGTGAAATGTATTGAGACCTTCTTACTCCCCTGAGGACGAATTGTAATAACTGTGGCGATCCCCTAACTTTATCTAGCACGATCATTGGGTCAAATTTTTATTTTGTCCAAAACTTGAGACCAAATACCTGCAAAAATAATGACTTCTCAGCTATACTTTTTTTTTGTTTAGCACTTACTTAGCTTTAGCTTGTTAGCATTGTCAATGATAGCATGCTGTTGTTAGCATTGTCAATGATAGCATGCTGTTGTTAGCATTTAGCTCAAAGCATCAGTGTGCCTAAGTGCAGTCTAACAGAGTTGCTAACATTACTGTAGACTCTTCTACGGCACTTTTCAACCACACTGAAATTCAAAGTGCTTTACATTAAAATGATAAAATGGCATTAAGACAAAATATAACTTGTTGCCATTAAATGCATATATCTTCTCTGAACCTGCTGAACCCATCCTCTCAATCCTTAAACCCTAATTCGTCATATTAATCATAGGAAAAGGTAATTGACTCGCTCTTTTACATTCAGTAATGCTAACAATCAATTCGTGATATAGTGGTAATTATTTTGCCTGTAGCATTAACTTCTTCATATATCAGAGACATATAGATGCACAGGATCACTTATTCCTGCTGCCATAACTTCTTTGACAATTCATGGAGTTCCATATTGCATTATACTTTATTCTTTCAGACTTATTGTGACAGTCACATAAACTAGTGCAAAAAGCAGACTGGTGACCACTGCTACTACTACTACTACTACTACTACAGTCACATACGTCTAACTAAATCATAGAGATGGTGAATGGATTTCTGTTAAGAAGAAACAGGGATTTAAGTTGCAGACACTATGTGTAAACACAGTGATATGCCTCTGCTCAGACATTTACAAGATCTCTGGATCCTCACCAGACTCTGATGTCAGCTCCTTTAAGGCTGTCTCTGGACACTTGGATATGCTTGGTAAACGGTCATTAATGATATACAGCGAACAGACTTGGAAAAAGCTCTGGTTTAGATTAAGCGACATCACATATAAACAGATGCTGATGGAAACATAGGCTTTTGTGATATTTTATCCCATGTACAGTATGTGAGCGTCTCTGTCACTAAGCTGTCCTCAAGCCTTTCTAGATCCCATGAGGAACTTCTTGCCTGCTGACCAGCTATTCCCAAGTGGAAAATGTGAGCTTCCCGTAGGACTAGCAGAGAGATAAACATCCATAAATACTGTGTCTGAGTTCCCACAGGCCAGTCCTAAGCACTCTATCCCTCCTTCTCTCTGTTCCCTGCCATCCTGTCTTTCACCCCCTGTTTTCTTTCTCTCTCTCCTCGTACTCTCTTCCTGTATCCCTCTCTCTGTGTCTCTCCATTTATCCTTCCCAAGTGGATTCTTAGTTTACATAAACAGATATGACTAACTGCTCTTTACAACTTCGCCTCAGTTTCACTTACAAGTTTCACTTCCTCCGTGCTCAAGCACATGCAATTTTCTTTTTCATAGTTTATGTGAGTTATTACAAGCCTTTAGAAGCATTTCAAAGTGTTGGGAGATAAAAAACATTTATTATCTGGGATGTCATGGTGGCCTAGGGCTCCATGATGCGTATCATTACGTAATCACAATGTCCCTGGAATAGTAGTAGGAATAAAGGCAAATTCCTAAAAAATAAGAAAAAAAACCCCAACTAAATCATAATCATAATATAATTACACACACTAATGTGTGTGTAATAAAGTTGTAAAAATATTCAGAATTGTTTTTCAAATAAGCATTTATAGTGTGTGATTTGATAAATAATACACTGACATCATCTGTAATTCTTTGTATATGATTTTCATTTAAAGAACCAAAATAAATGCATTAAATAACATCTTAGCTTTACAGGAACACTTGAAGAGTCAGCGATTACACAATCTATTAAGAAACATCCTCATGACTGCAGTAGACTATAAAGGAAGATGTTGCAAATACTGAAAAGAAATCTGTTGCATTACAACAGCTGTAATGTGTAAAAGTTAAATTCATTCAAACGAAGCAGTACGAGATAATTTATGGCTACACATAATTTTCCATTCATCATTTACGGTACATCATATTCTATGAAAAAAGTATACAAACACACAGGAATACCTCTGTGGCTTGTTAGAGACTTTTGTTTGAACTTTATTGTTAGTGTTTGGATTATGTCAGCCATGGCATTTCCTCTAACTAAGCAGACGCTGAAAAGATTAAAGACAATTAGACCTTACCCTCAGGCTCTTGGTAGTGGCAGAGGATGAAGTTGGAGAGGAGTCAGAGAGCGACTTTCTAATGTGTGGCTGATCTTTGTTGTGAGAAAGTAGAGATGACATTGCTCCCAAGCTGCTATAGTCTGCATGCAGCTGTAATGTGGCCAAAAGTATCTCCAAAAAGTTTTTCTTAATCAAAAAACAAACCAAAAAAAGCAGCAAAGAAGTTGAAGAATGATGTATTTAATATCCACTGATATTCAATTCTGATGCGGCAGTTTCCTCGGTTAAAATCAAAAACTCAAGCGTGATCTTCATGTGATGGTGAGACATTGAATATCTGATGTGAGTGAAAGAACTGCACAAGTGTGAGAGCTGTGGAGGAAGTGGTGGGACTGGGAGTAGGCGGACTGTAGTGTATATGTGTGGACACAAGGATCTGACAGCAGTATTGTTCACAAGGGCTCTCAAGGGATTCAGGATCATTCCGTAGAAATGGAAAAAGTAAAGCATCATTGTGTTTTTGGGGTAATTTCTAAAGATGTAAATGTATTTTTTAAGTGTACTTCCCACTGCATTAAAAATAAGTGTGACGTATTACACTCTTTATTACAAAGGAGAAACAAGGCTGTTAAAAATGGCTCCTCTATCAAAACCACTGGTAGAAAAGCACATCTGAAAGTGGAAGTAACATTTAAAACACAGGCAGTAGATGGACAAGTACACATGGGTTTGTGTTAGGGGAAATAAAAATGAATTAAAAAAACCAACAGATTGGTCAGATGCACAAATATACTGTGCTTAGAGTAAGATTTGTTATCTTGGATTTTAATCAGGCTGGAGATTGCATGTGTTGACAGTTAAAACAGGCTTACATACCTTTCTGAGCAAGTTCCATGACACAGTTGCATTCATTAGCACAGGTCATTTTATTCTCCTAAAAAGGAAATATAAAGGGCCTGCTGTCTGTGTCTAACTCATGTTGTAAATGCTTATGGAATGTGACAAATATATTTCATGGCACATATACTGAAGCTGAAAAGTTTTCACCCAAAATATTTGGTAAAGGTTAAAAATACATCTTCAATTCATCTCAGTTTACTTCTAATTGATTCCAGTCAGAGACGGCTGTCACAGCAAACATCACCTGCACCTGACACAATCTAATCACACAATTAAATAAGAGTATATTTGTGAATGAAGGGATTTTTATATTATCTTGCTGGACTTGCTGTTTTGCCCATATTTTGAGCTAAATACACTTCTCTAGTCAAACTTAAGCACTTTGGCATTTTAAAGATATAACAATAAAGAGTTAACGTTCAGATGTTAAACCTTCCATTAGATTTTTGCCTTTTGATTCCTAAAAAACAGGTTGTTTGCACCTGGATATCAAGGTCCACCTTTGTTGTTCTGTCCTCAAGTTGCCACACTAGACTAGAGTGTTTCATTCAGTGTTTTTTAGCATGTCTTAACTTTATGGCAATGCAAGAGTCAGTCATTTCAAATTAAAGACATGTGGTTGCTGTTGCTTTTTAATCTGTATCAGTTGAGACAGTATGTCACAGAGGGGTAGTGAGACACTCACAGTTCCCCACTTTAGAAAGAAAGTTTGGTTGGTTCCTCTCTAACATTTGCTGATTATTCTTCATCACTATGGTAGTAATGAGGCACCACCTGCTGGCAGAAAATAGTACTTTAACCTTTTCATAAAAGAATTTCATGACAAGAGAACAGTATGTACCAGTGGATCATATGTATCCACACATGTACAGCATGTGCACTTGTGCCATAAATAACGTCGCAGTGAGACACTACACATTTACTTCTTGTGTTAAATTAGAAGGTGTAAGTACAGTCACATTTGTTTTCTCTTTCACAGTGCAAAAAGACAACTGTCATTTCAACCCTTTTCATTTTCTCATATGTAAATGAGTGAAATACAATTAGTTAATTCAATTAACATTTTCTTCTTCAAATTGTCATGTGCCAATTCAATTTAAACAGTCATAGTAAATTTGTTAAAATTATTTTACAGAAATTCTCAATTTACGTTATTGTGTAAAGTCATTCTCAGATGTGACTTTAATTTTTTCTTCCAATCCTTCCTATTTTCTATTGATCATATATTTCATATTGAATTAACTAGAGCAGTCATATATTAATACTTGTTGTCACAAAATACAATTTCTTACAAGACATATGTATGTTGAAGAGAAGTAAAACCCTAAAAAAATAAGGCTGGAATTTGACATAGGTAGTTTTAGAAAATTCATTACTTTTCAGTGATGGACCTCACCTGACACACTGTAGATGTCAGACAACCACAAAAGTAGAATACAACAAATAATTTGCAGCTACTAGTTAAAGAAATTGTGCTGCATGTAAAAAATGGTTCCCGTTAATCTAAGTAAGACTTAAAAATCACATTCTTTTGAACTAATGATTTACAGGTGCTCAGTCTAGTGGAGCATTTCAAGTACAACTACTCGTCCTCCTCATTTCCGTCCACGAAGACCTCATAATTTAATTCATCCAACTCTTCCTCTTCAGACTCCCAGCTTTCGGCACCTTCTTCAGATACCTCCTCTTGCAAAGATTCATCCAAAACATGGCCGTCTACAGTCTCTTCTGCGACCTCGTCTTCTGCTGTCTCCTCAGCAAACTCCAACTCTGCACTCTGTCCTCTAATGTCTTCTTGCTCTTCTGGTGTTATCTCTTCTTCCTTTTCTGTAATCTCTTCTTCCTCTTGCCCCTCTGTAATGTCCCCGTCCCCTTCCTGTTCCAGTGGCCACTCTTCCTGCATGTTCTGCTGCTCCTCTGCTTCCTCTTCTGCTTCATCGTCAGCATCCTGCTGCTCAGCCTTTTCCTCAACATCTTCTAGCTTCACCTCAGTGGTATTCTGTGCTGTAGTGGAGATAAACTCTTCTGCAGCTGGGCTCTCGTCATTTGATTTAAGCTTCAGTGACCAAGAGGGAGCATTCGCCAACTGAGATACAGATATGTTATTCATTATTCATCCAAATAGGATTCAGGTCTTGCAACTTGGAAAACAACATACACTGTCACAAAATACTTTCAGGTATTTAAAAGAACAGTCTTAGTAAAAGTAATAGGGTTATACCTGCTTGTGAAAAGTCTGTAGGTGAGCCATGACACTGCTGTGGAGGGTCTGTGAAGTGAAAAACTGCTCATCCAGAGTCATCTGCACTGCACTGAGCATCTCTTCTAATGCCTGGGCACGCACAGCTTGCATGGCCTGGACAAGCTCCCTGGAAAACACACACACAACAAAAATAAACACTTCTTTGAAAAGGCAGCAAATTAAAACATTATTCCGACATGCAGATAAACTCCGAAATCAAACTGGGCTCACTTTACTGCAGCCGTCTCCTGGTTGTTTGTATAAAGTGCAACACTGTGGAGGTACATTGAGTCTTTCAGCTCATTCAGCTCTGAGGCTTGTCCCTCTAACTGTGCATTAAGAACCTCCACTGATGCAATCTGCTCATCAACTCTGGAGCATGCGCTGGCCACAGCACTGGCCAACTCAGCCACATTTTCAGCCAGTGCTGAGCTGGAGCTCAACCCGGCCTCTACGCTCTCCTTCACAGTCTCAAACTCCTCACTCTGGTTCTTGAACATTGCCTGGAGAGTTGTGAAGGCCAGCGAGACCTGCTTTATCTCAGCCAATCGGGTGTCCATCTCATCATGAAGGTCCAAAAGCTGCGAGAGAAGGTCAGAGTTTTTCAGCTTCTCTGCTGTGGCCAGAGCAACCTCAGCCGTCTCCTGAGCCTGTTTCTGAGCCTCATCCAGGGCGAAAATCCTCTCCTCCACATCCAAATCTATGTCAGTCTGGAGAGTGAGAAAAATGATTTAGCCATGTGGTTTGATTCGGTTCAAACATCTGAGATCTGTGAGATGGATTTATGTCAGACTGAGCTGTCATACTGCTGTAGCAAGCAGATTTGTGCGATTTGACAATATATAGCCTACCTTGAGATAATATACATTTGTTAGTTGTCAGCAGTATTTAAATATGGTTTATACCATGGTGGCTGTCCCTTTAATATATCTGGGTGAATTTGGCCATTGTGGGAAGAGTTACAAATTACTGAGCAGGAATCCTCTAAAGCAAGATTTTTGCATAAACGTGACCTTCATTTTGGAAGGTATTGAATTTCCTGGACTAACCAATAGACATTTAAAACAGTTTTCTCAGTTGATTTCCCAGAAAATCTGCTATACCATATTGATATTGTGATACAAGACTATAAACAGTATATCATGACCAACTAGCAGCAATAACTACAGATAATGAAGGATATCATTATTTATATTTCACAGTACCCGTTGGGGCTGTGAATGTAACTAAAACCTGAGCATTAAGCTGCTCTCACAGTCCGTAGTTGCTAAAAAAAAACGACAGGTGTTACTATAAGTGTCAAAGCAGCCACTTTAAAATGTCTTGCAGCCTTAGCTTTTCAAAATAAACCTCACTGACTAACACTATCATTCGTGTTATGTTAGAAATGTCATGAACAACATGTGATTGAAAGGACACTTCTTATACACGTGCTTTTTTATTTGTAAATTCGTTTTTATTTACTAATTTGTTTAAAAATGACAAACGTAGTTCTTTTATTTTGAAGGCAAATCGCCAATTCCCGGTATTCCACGTCGCTAAAAGCACACCGTGCAGTGATTGACCCTCACCTCCCCCTGTAACGCTGTTGTCGAATTAATTTCACCTTGTTACACGATAATACGAAAGAGAATAAGTAAACTGTGAGTGAGTGAGGAGCCCAACAAAGCAGAGAGAGAAAAAAAAAACACGGGTGCGAAAGTTTAACTAGCTAACTTAAGTTACCTGTGCGTCCGTCATCTCCATCACCTGCTGGAGGTTTGTGATCCTCTCTTGCATTGTTGTGAAAGACTCTGACAGCTGGTCGAGGCTGTGCTGCTGTTGTGCACAACACCACCCCATAATAGAGGCCCCGACTGTGAAGATAATAATGAACAACAGAGCTGAAGAAGCATATGAGTTTGTCTGGTTCCTGGACTGTGGTACCACCCGGTCTGCTGCTGGTGCTGCTGGTGCTGCTGGTGGTGGTACTGAAGCCCTGGACTGCGCTACTGGGGAGTCCAACAAAATGGAAGTGTCTTCTTGTTGTGGTTTCTTTGACTTGCGCTTGGCCATGGCAGCAGGAGAGGGACTGGACGGACTTGGAAGAGGTAAGTAACTGCGAAATAAGTGAAAGGGGAAGAGTGGCTCCTGCTCTGGTTTTCCTATCACGTTGTCTAGTGTGCCAGCTAGACCCTTTGACCTTGTCAGTCATTGGACCCCCATAACATTCAAAGCAACTGGTCGTGGTGGGGGGGGGGTGACAGCATATTATGTAACAGCAGTTGTGGAATAAGAGCTCAGATCCAAGTAAAATGCCACAGTGTAAAAATACCCTATTAGAGGCCCTGCATGTCTAACTTTAATATAAGATAAGAGAGACTTTATTGATCCCACACTGGGGAAATGCACTTGCAATATACACAACACAACATGTACAATAGTTTAGAAAATACACATTAAATAGGTAAAGAATAGTAAAAATACTAGATATAATAGAAATAGATAAATAAGGATACTAATATGTACACTATATATATATCCACATTTGATTGATTTAAATGTAATAAAGGCTATAAATATAGGGCTATGAATATACAGTACAGGTATTATATATATATGTATATTTATAATTAAACGTTGAAGGCCGTGTCCGTGCCGTCAAAGTTGGTCATTTTGAATTCCGTGGTCACTTTCTGTGAATTTTTTCGCCTTGTATTTAAACTAACTCCTCATAGGGGACTTATCGGATCTACTTCAAACTGGATAGGACACTTAAAAAATGTTGCCAATTAAAAGTTGTGCGATTTGTGACTGTACGTTGAAGGGCTTGTCCGTGGTGTACCGTCAAATTTGGCCATTTTGAATTGAATGTCCAACTGTGATGCCATTTCTGGCATTTCAGGAATTACATTTTAACTAACTCCTCCTACAGATTTTATCGGATTGACTTCAAATTCGATCACTGCAATCTAGACACGTTGGTGATCAAAAGTGAATCAAATATTTACTGTGTGTCAAACGCCGTGTCCGTGGTGTGGCGCTGAATTTCCACGTTTTGCAGTGAAGAGTCTCGCTATGAAAGCATAAGTCTTTTGCACAGTGTCTGAAACGCGTGACAACGTAGAGCAGTCTACCTCGCTTCTGGCAATGAGGGCTTAGGGGTGGGGTGACGTGGCGTGGTGCGGCTACGGCGGGCGACCATCGTGCAGGCCCCAACGTAGGTTGATGGCGAGGTCCCGCCCAGTGCTGCTTACAGCCTTAATTAATTTTTGCTATTAATTTTA